TTCGTCGTAGTGGGGCTCGGCGTTTGTTCCAATGTAAATGGGTTCCCAGTGTACAAAGTAACCGGTTCGCTTTCCAATATGGAAGACACTTAATTCGTCAGTTTCGTTGGCAGCCATCCATTCTTTGGATTTCGGTACACCATGACAGCTGGCGCAGACGCGTTTATGGAATGGTATGGCTTTGCCCGTGCGCAGGAACTCTTGTAATTCAGTTTTATCACGGGGTACAGGACTGCTCTCCTCCACTTCGAAAATGGACAAGGGGAAAACACTGCGAAGAAAACAGGGAAAATAAAAATTAATATTTATTTCAAAAAAATCCACGCCTATCGGAAGGTCTCCAAAAATAGGTTTGGAAATAAATTGTTTTTTAAAAATATTTCTACTCACCGTGGTGCCTTCCTATTCAAATAAGGCTCATTGCGGGCAATCATTTCCAAGAATTTCTTAACCAATCCTGGATTTGGATACAGCTCAATATCGGAGGCCAATATGAAGTGGGTAATGGCTGCATCACGGGCAATATTACGTCCCACATTAACCGGATACAACAGCTTCTTTTGTGTCTTATATAAATGACCCGATGTGATATTGACATATGGCGGCGGTAGGGTACAATTGTAGCCCACCTTGAGAGCATCATAGTATTTGGGTATCGTTTTGGGGATATGTTTCGTACTAAAGTATACATGGAAAGTGGCATACATGCGCACTAAATTACTATTGGGCAAGCAGTCTCTTAAATATTTAATGGAATCCAATGTTGGTTGGAAATCAGTGCCGGGTGCATGCATTGCTATGCTAATGGGAGCATTCCATCTGAAACAAAAAACAGGTAATTAATATTCTGATCAATTTTATGTGTGTGTTTGTGTACTTACCTTTCCAACAATGGTATCAGATTATCTAAAAATGTATAATCTGCATGTGTAGTATAGGTTATCGATTCATGGCACTTAAGTTCACCATGTTCAGCGCGAACATAATTCTTTAATACCCAAAAATCTCCACGTTGTAGAGTTTCGGCTTCATATGATCGATCATAGCATTTCAAGATGCTACGCAATCGTTCGTCAAAGTCTTTTTCATCACCGCTAACCAAATAATTTGGATCGGCGGCATTTGTGTTATTTACAAAATTACTATTGGCATTGCCACTACCAATGTTGCCAATAACATTGGCCGGATCACCAATATCGGGATCCATTTCAGGAGCATCGGCATCTTTTACCGGTGGCTGTTGTAAATCATGTGAACCACCACCTGCGGCAGCAGAGCCGGCATTGCCGCTTACATCAGCCTTAAGTTCTGTGGGAGGCTTGGGAGGATCATCATTCATTTCCTGTCAAAAGAAAAGTTGGAAATTTTAGTTTTGAAAAAGGAGTTTGTTAATTGAAAAAAAAATACAGTAAGTAAAGGGCCAAAGTCGGACAATGCCGACGAATATAGGCCTTTCGTATGCTATTTACATAAAATCGCACGAAGTTCTGTATGGTAGCTATATCGAAATATGAACCGATTTTTTGCAAACTTGGCACATGTTATTCCCAATTCAGTGCGCTATGCAGGATTTTGAGCCAATCGCACAAACTTTTGGGGCTTTGGAGCAGTATTTACAAGAAATCGGAGCTGTACCTAGATCTAAACCGAATTGAACCAAACTTAACACACATTATTTTGGACCGAATTCATTAAACTATGCAATATTTTGTAACAATCGGACATACTATGGATGGTTTGGTGAACCATTTACATGAAATCGGACGAAGTTTTATATGAGAGCTATATTTAAATCTGAACCGATTTGTACCAAACTCAACACACGTTATTCTGGACCGAATTCATTAAGCTATGGAAAATTTTGTGACAATCGGACTAACGTGAGGAGCTGTTGTTCGCCATATACATGAAATCGGACGAAGTTTTGTATGGGAGCTATACCTAAATATGAACCGATTTCAACAATATTCAAAATACATAATTGTAGACCCAATTCAGTGGGCTATTCAAAATTTTGTGACAATCGGGTAAACTAAGAAGACTTTGGGGCATCATTTACATGAAATCGGACGAAGTTTTATATGGGAGCAACATCGAAATCTGAATCGATTTCTACCAAACTCAACACACATAATTGTAAACCCAATTCAGTACACTATGCAAAATTGTGTATCAATCGGACAGACATAGGAGATTTTGAGCACTATTTACATAAAATCGGATGAAGTTTTATATGGGAGCTATATCTAAATCTGAACCCATTTGAACCAAACTTTACACACTTCATTGTAGACCCATACCAGTACCCGATGCAAAATTTTGTTTCAATCGGACGGACATAGCACATTTGATGCACCATTTGTCTGAAATCCGACGAAGTTTTGTATGGTAGCTACATCTAAATGTGAATCGATTTGATCCAAACTCAACACAGGCAATTCTAGACCTAATTCAGAAGGCTATGCAAAATTTTGTACCAATCGTTCAGATATTTCGGCTTTTATGCAATATTTGTCTGAAATCCGACGAAAGTTTATATGGGAGCTATATCCAAATCTGAAGCGATTTTCATCAATTTCATTTGATTGCATCCTTGAGCCAATAGAATGACCTATGCCAAGTTTCAAAGCAATTGGATAATAAATGCCAACTTAGAAAATTAATGTTTATGCAAACGGGCGGAAGTTCCGACGTAAAGTTTTGCTAACTAAATCCTCCGAAATATCTGAGGGTCTATCTAGTTTCCTTTCGCACCTAATACCCTGAGGCGCTATTAATAATTACCGGTTATTACATTATGATTTTTTGTTTAATAATTACTTACCATTTTCGCCAGGGCTTCTCTCACCATACCCCTTTCAGCCTGTTGCTGTTGTTGTTGCTGCATCGCACTTGGCTGTTCTTGTATTACAAATTGTGACCCGGACGTCAGGGTATAACGATTACCAATCATAAGATGACTGCAGATATATAAAATCACAGCAATATTGATGAGTATACTGCAACGCAGTAACCAGTTGCGTCGTGTAAACATTTTCTGGCCCAGTGGTTCGAAACGCATTTTAAATGCGTTTTCCAATGTGGCTGTTGAATTTAACGTTTTGTAAGTAATTTTGAAGCCGTTTGCTGTACACACTCGCGGCAATCTGGATAATATGCAAGTTCCTCCACCAATAACACTTGGAAGAAGTTCTAGGAGGTTGCTCTATTGTTTTGTAATAACGACGAAGAAGGAAGAAAAACGTAAACTGGAACAAGTGTAACAACTGTAATGAGAAAAAGAAGAAGTGTATATTAAAAAATTAAATTAGAATTAAATTTAAAAAATAAATATTAAAAAACCTTAAAGTCTAGACAACACAAAATAGCCACTTATCGGTCCACCAAGCAACCACCTATCGAGATTCTATTGCGGCCCACACTCACTACTCGTCTACTCAGTTAAGTAACTTCTTAGGAAATGCGACAAAATGACATGTAAACAAAAAAAATAGTACCACAATTTGAATGGGATCTGTGATAACGGTAAAACAATGTAAACAAATAAAAAACACACACACATTGCGATTAGATAAAGAGTGGAAGCAACACACAAACAACAACAACACCATCAAACTGCCAACAGTAGCTGTAGCACAGCATAACAATTGATGTGAGAGATCAGCTGTTATAACTCACAGACGTCATAGGGGATCATTCAAATGAGATTGTGCGCGCGCTCTTTCTCTCTCTGTCACTCCTTCTCCAACGAGTTTAATCTCTTTTTCTTAGAAAAACCATGTATGAAAACAACAAAAATAATGCAGTGATTGATCATGATGCTGTTTGAAGAATGAAATTTATTTTGAAAAATATTTAAAAAATAACGAACAGAGATGACTGGATTAAATTTTAATAATTGAAACAGAAAGAGATGAATTCGGTGACAAGTTAAGAGGTCAGTCGGTGAGTTATTAAGGCGAACATAATTGAACAAGGAGGAGTCTTTGGGAGGTATGAATTCTTTTGAGGCTGACTGTATTCTTTAAAAATATTATTAAGATGTCCTAAAGTGGCCATGCAAATTAAAAAAAAATACTTTTTGAAGGTTTTAACAACAAAGGCGTAGATGCCATATATCCGTCCGATTGCATGAAAATGGCCAGCAAAAGTCGTTATGTCGGTCCAAATGAGACAAAATTTTGCCTAGCCTCCTGGATTGTGTCTAGAATGAAGTGTGTAGAGTTTGGTTCAAATCGGTTCAGATTTAGATGTAGCTCCCATATATAAGATAGTCCGATTTCATGTAAATGATGCATCGAAGTTCCTCAATTTGGTTCGATTGATACAAAATTTAGCGTAGAGTACTGAAATGTGTCTACAATGACGTGTGCAGAGTTTCGTTGAAATCGTTTCAGATTTTGTCCGATTTTAGGTAAATGGTGCACTAAAGCCCCCTAAGTTTGTCCGATTGACAAAAACATTTTGCATATCCTACTGGATTGGTTCTAGAATGAAGAGTGTAGAGTTTAGATCAAATCGCTTCAGAATTATATATGTATATGTATGTAGATCGCATACACAACTTCGTCTGATTTTATGTAAATGGTTTACAAATGTCGCTATGTCTGTCCGATTGCCACAAAATTTTGCATACCCTAATGGATTGGGTCTACAATGATGTGTTTTGAGTTTTGTTAAAATCGGTTCAGATTTGGATGTAGCTCCCAAACATAACTTCTACCGATTTCAGGTAAATGGTGCACCGAAGCCCCCTAAGTTTATCCGATTGTCACAAAAATTTGCACAGCATAATGAATTTGGTCCAGGATAACGTGTGTTGAGTTTGGTACAAATCGTTTCAGATTTCGATGTAGCTCCCATATAAAACTTCGTCCAATTTAATGTAAATGATGCACCAAAGCCCCCTAAGTTCTTCCGATTGTCACAAAATTTTGCATAGCCTACTGTATTAGGTATAGGCTGCTGTGTGTTGAGAGTTTTGTTGAAATCGGTCCAGATTTGGATATAGCCCCCATATATATTTTCGTCGGATTTCATGAATATGGTGCACTAAAGGGCTGAATGGTGACCGATTGTCGTAAAACTTGGCATAACGTAGTGAATTTGGTCTAGTATGATGTGTGTTAAATTTGCTTCAAATCGGTTCAGATTTCTGTATAGCTCCTATATATAATTTCAACCTATTTCATATAAATAGTGCTCCAAAGCCCCAACATTTTTCCGATTTTTACAAAATTTTACATAGCGCACAGAATTGGGTCTAGGGTAGGATAACGTGTACCAAGTTTTCTAAAAATCGGTTCATATTTCGATATAGCTGCCATAGATAACTTCGTGCGATTTCATGCAAATAGCACACGAAAGGCCCATAGCGTGGTGCATTGGGTCTAGAAAATATATTGTATCTATTCCTAAGCCCTGTCCGACTTTGACCTTTTCCATACTGTATTTTTTTATTCAATAATTCCTTTTTCAAAACAAAAATATCCTTTTTTTCTTTCGATTGTAAATGAATGATTATCCTCCCAAGCCTCTCACAGAACTTAAGGCTGATGTAAACGGCAATGCCGGCTCTCCTGTTGCTGTCGCCGCCAGTGGTGGTAGTGGTTCACATGATTTACAACAACCACCCGTAAAAGACGCCGATGCTCCTGAAATGGATCCCAATATTGGTGATTCAGCCAATGTTATAGGGAATATCGGAATATCCGGAGGCCTTCAAATGTGCGTGCCTTTTTAAATATACAAGACAATTTCAACTTCTTTTGGTATTTTATTTAATGAACATATTCACCATACAACTAAAACCAGTTTAGATTTAAGATTTCAAAATTAAATAAATCTTTCGAAATTCCATACAAAAAACACAAATACTTAAAAATCCATGCACAACTTTGCTTAATAACTAACTACGTATTTCCAATTTCCCAAGACTATCCCTACTTCTTTCCAAAGAAACTCATAATATTCGATTGTTTTCCCTTGGTAGCAGCGGCTGCTGCGGCCTTTGTGGATTTTGGTGACGTCTTCTTTGTTTCCGAAGGTGAGGATTTCTTGGCTGGTGAGGCTTTAACAGATGCCGAGGCGGGTGATTTCTTTTTAGCCGTCGTTTGGGCCTTTTGTTTTGGTTTTTTGGTTATGACAAAACCATCCTCATCTAAATAGGTTTCCGATTTGGAAACATTTGCTTCATCCTCCTCATCATCGTTATTCTGCTTAGATTCATCAAGTTTTTCTTGTTTCACAACAGGTTGTTCATCTGCCTCATCATCATCGGAATCAATAATGCGACGACGTTTGGAGGTGGTGGGTTTCGATGAGGCTTCATCCTCATCGGCATCCATTTCAACATCAGAGGAAATAATATCCCTTTTCAGGGCTTCCAATTTTTCTTCTTCATCTGATGATTCAGCTTTATCTTCCTCGTCCTCATCATCATCAAAGAGTTGTATGGATGTATTTGTTGTTGGTTTCTTAATTGCCTCCGAGGCTTTGGGTTTGGGTTTTTCGGTTGGTTTTTCAGTTTGTTTTTTGAAAAAGTCTTGCATTTTCTTGGGTGTAGGAGGTTTAACCACTCCCGTTGCAGGTTTGGTTTCTTTGGTGTCCTCTGTTTTCTTGGCGGATGCTGCAAAGAAACTATTAATACCTCCGGCCTTTTTGTTGGTGGTTGCCTTTGCAGCAGCGGGAGATTTTTTAGTTTCTGGTGACGTTTTTGTGGGAGTTTTTTGCGTGGATTTTTTCTGGGTATCCGACGAGGACTGTTTGCTGTTGGATGCCTCGCCGTTAGAGATTTTCTTTGGTTCGGTTTTTATTTCCTTCTTTTCGGGGGGTTTTACGGTGGATGGTTTAGCACTATCTGAGGTGGAAGTGCCATTGGCAATTGCCTTGGTACCAGCCCTTTGTTTTAGCTTAACATTCTCCTCAATGCTCATGGGTTTGAAAATGGCTGCGGGAGGTTTGGCACCACCAGCCACCTAGAAAATAATAACTTCATTCATTGTTTTTATTATATAGCTTCACTTGAGCTTACCTCCACGGCATATAGAAGAGATTGGGAATTTTTCAATTTCTTTAGCCATTCCTTGAGTTTGGCCTCCTCGACAATTTTATAGATTTCCTTTATTTGCTTATCTTCCTTTTGTTGTTCTCCATGTACCACATAGTGTTTTTCAAATTTCAGTTTCTGTTTGGTTTCTTGTTCTTTCACAAAATCCGCGACAATTTTGTCCACTTCCTTGTGGGCCAATTTGTAGTCATCCAAGAGTTGAGTGATAAGAACTTTTCGATCGAAACTTATTAAACAATTCTTTAAGTCTTCCTTGAGTTTTGTGCTGCCCATGGTGCTGAAGGGCTTGGATTTTCCACGGGTAATAAATAAATAACAACTGCTTTGGTTGGTAGCTCCAGAGGAATGTTTGCAAAAAATACTCACAAAGCGGCAAAATAGCAAACTGAACGTAGGGATACTTCAATCGACTTTTGACTAATCGATTTATCGATAAAGTCAACACGATTTGTTGTTGCTTTTCGATTATTAAATATTAATTTTTGCAAACTTTTTGGAGAAACTATAGGATTATTTATTTTTTAATACAACAACAATAACACAAATAACAACAATGCCCATAGAAAGCTTGCAAAGTTATGAAAACTCAACACAACCACTGCTTAGGGGTTTATAGATCGACTGTCGACCTATACTCTGTGTGTTATCAACACTATACCAAAACTGAACATGTACCATGACAACACTGAACACACGCTTAAGACACAAAAATAAAGAATACCAACACTGAACATACGCCAAGAGCCACATTGTCACAAAACAATACATGTAACGCCGTTAAAAGAATGAAATGAGAGGCGGAGACAGAAAAACAGTTTTTAAAGGGTAAATTATAAAGGATTATTTAAATAAAACTTATTTTGCGGAATTATTGAACGTTGGGTTAAAAAAATATATTTAGGGTCAAACACAAGGCGTGGATTTTTTAAAAAATATTTTTAGGGTCAAACACATGGCGTGGATTTTTTAAAAAATATTTTTAGGGTCAAACACACAAGGCGTGGATTTTTTACATAATATTTTTAGGGTTAAAACAAGGCGTGGATTTTTTACAAAATATTTTTAGGGTTAAACACAAGGCGTGGATTTTTTAAAAAATATTTTTAGGGTCAAACACAAGGCGTGGATTTTTTAAAAAATATTTTTAGGGTCAAACACAAGGCGTGGATTTTTTAAAAAATATTTTTAGGGTCTAACACAAGGCGTGGATTTTTTAAAAAATATTTTTAGAGTCAAACACAATGCGTGGATTTTTTAAAAAAATATTTTTGAAAGGATTATCAAAAGACAGTAATAAAAAAATGTAGAAACTGCCCTGGGGCAATATTTTGTTTTTAAATTTGATTGTGATAACCACCACTTGAAGCCTCCATAACGTTGTGCGAACCTTATTTGATAGAACTCCGCCACTCATTATGCCAATAGCTGGGCTTAGCCCATATTTGTCTTACCATTGAAGTGGGACTGCTGCGGGGTGTGTGTTGCTTTTTAATTGTTGGATAATTTTAAGAAAATAAACAACCCAAAAAAAAAAGAATAATGTTTTTATTATCATTGAATGGCGTGCAAAAACTATTTCAAAGAATTGCTTCAGAATGCCTGAGGTCTGAGTCTGACGGCCAACAATGACGAGTAGCTGCTGAATTGTTTTTATGTGTGGGGAAGCAGCCAGTATTCAAATTACAATGATGGCATACAAATCACCTCTCTGCGAACACGTACACTTCGTCTTTTGTTTTTATTTTTGTGTTCCTCACTTCCTCCAGCACCGCGAACCACTTCCAAACTCCATATAATGGTCAAAAAAGTATTTTTGTGTGGTGTACGACGATAAAATTCGCCCTGGGGCCATTGACAACAAGCCCAACATAAAATTGCCGTTAAAAAATAGACATTACATGTTGCCGAAATTAACCTCAATTTTTGGGGGTATTTATTTTTGAACGGAGGCCTCATTGTGCGAACACAATGTGAACAAAGCTCTCCAAGAAAACAATTAAAAATTCCCCCAACAAAAGAAAATATAATTGAGATACTTATGATAAATGGTTTTGGTTATTGGAATTTCAGTACGACTTATAGAGATACTTAAAAATAAATAAAAAACCTTAGAAATATTTTTAAAAAAATCCACGCCTCGTGCTTGACCCAAAAAATAATTTTAAAAAATCTACGCCTCGTGCTTGACCCCAAAAATAATTTTAAAAAAATCCACGCCTCGTACTTGACCCCAAAAATAATTTTAAAAAAATCCATGCCTCTTATGGACCCTTAAAAATGTTTTTTAATATGGTCCATATTTTTCAATTCAATACCGCCCTCACAGCCTTGAACATTTTATGCACAAAATAACAACTTTCAATTTTATTTATTTTCAAACATCTGTGAGCACAGAATGGGTTTTGAAATCACGCAACATTGGCATAGAAAGAAATCAAAAACAACACAAAACAAAAAAAATGGACAACAATACGTCATAGAAAAAATGAATTGGAGCAGCAGAGAAAGTAAATGGGCAAATTGCACGCAATATTAAATTCAATGCTTTTTGTCTTTAATAAAATAATGAAATTAGAATATTTAATTAAGATGAAAAAAAAGATTTTTTTTAATTTAAAAAAAATTTTCTTCGATTTTTTTATACCCTTCACCACAATGTGGTACAGGGTATTATGTCTTTGTGCATATGTTTGTAACAGGCAAAAGGAAACGAGATAGACCCATGGTTCCTTTTGAGAATATGCATAGGATCATTTTCTGAGTCGATTTATGCATGTCCGTCTGTCCATGTTACATTGTAAACAAAGTATAGGTCGCATTTATGATCCGCTTTGGATGAAATTTGGCATAGGTCACTTATTTGGCCCAAGGACGAACGCTATTGAAATTGGGAAAAATAGGTTCAGATTTCGATATATCTCCCATATATATTTTCGTCCGATTTTAGATAATTGGTGCACCAAAGTCCCTATATATCTTTCGATTTGCACGAAATTTGGCATATCGTACTGAATTGAGACTAGAATGATATATGCAAAGTTTCTTGAAAATCGGGTCAGATTTATATATAGCTCCAATATATATTTTGGACCGATTTAAGGTAAATGAGGCACCAATGTCCCTATATGTGTTTCGATTTGCCCGAAATTTGGCATAACGTATTGAATTAGGTCTAGAATGATGTGTGCTAATTTTTGTGCAAATCGGCTCAGATTTAGATATAGCTCCCATATATATTTTCGACCGATTTAAGCTAAATGAGGCACCAAAGTCCCTATATATCTTTCGATTTGCACGAAATTTGGCATATCGTACTGAATTGAGACTAGAATGATATATGCAAAGTTTCTTGAAAATCGGTTCAGATTTTGATATAGCTCCCATATATATTTTCGTCCGATTAAATGTAAATGGTGCACCAAAGTCCCTATATATCTTCCGATTTGCAAATGATGATGCAAATGGTCCAAAATGATGTGTGCTAAGTTTTGAGCAAATCGGTTCAGATTTTGATATAGCTCCCATTTATATTTTCGTCCGATTTTATGTAAATGGTGCACCAAAGTCCCTATATATCTTTCGATTTGTACGAAATTTGACATAGCGTACTGAATTTGGTTGGGAATGATGTGTGCCAAGTTTCGTGAAAATCGGTTCAGATTTAGTTAGAGCTCCCATATATACATTTTTGTCCGATTAAATGCAAATTGTGCACTAAGGACCCATAGCTAGGCCTATTGATACAACGTACTGAAATTGGTATTCTCTCGAAAAGGCGACGTCTGTTAGGATACATATATAGAATATACCCAAAGTGGTGAAGGGTATCATATAGTCGGTCCAGTCCGACTTTACTACTTTCCTTACAGGTTTTAAATTATTTTCCAGGGTTTCTCGAAGGCTTAGTTTTTGAAAATTATTTTCAAAGGTTTACGAAAGGCTTGATTTTTTTAAAAATTATTTTCAAGGGTCCATCCAAGGCGTGGATTTTTTTTTAAATTATGTTTAAAGTGCCTGAATTTTTTAATATTATTTTCAAAGGTCTATAAATTTTTTTTTAATACCCTACACAACTATGTTGTCAGGGTATTATAGCGTTGTGCAGCCCCAAGAGGTTGTAACGCCGCGAAATATTAGTCATAGACCCACCTTTAAGTATACCGATCGTCATATCTCGATTAGATGAGTCGATCTAGACATGTGTGTCCGTCTGTCCATTATAATTTGTAAACAGGATACGGGCCACAGTAATGGACCAATCTTCACGAAATTTTGCATGTAGAATAGGTTCGGACCAATGAAGACCCCTATTGTTTTTGGTAAAGATCGGTTAATATTTAGGCCTATATTGGCCAGGCTTGGAATAAAAATCCGCAGATAGTTAGAGTTCCATGGTAGTTGTGTAGGGTATCGTATGATCGGCCCCGTCCCCGACTATACTGCTTCGCTCACTGGTTTAAAAATTATTTTATGTTAAGTTCCCCTCTTCGGTCGGATAAATGACCTTCTCTCCCACCCCATTAAATTTTGTGTGTTTTTCATTAATTCCCATGTCAAAATAATAAATATTGGTTGGATTTTTGCACACAACACACCCATACATAATTAATAAATGTATGTATTTGTGTGCGTGCGTGTGTGTGTTTATTTTACAAATGACAATTCGAAAACCACAATGATGATTCGTTTAATAACCAAAAGTGCATTAAACCACAGAAAAAGGTACCCAAACAGCCAACCCAACACACACACAGACAGAGGCACATACATACACATCCACATGAATCATCATCGTCATCATCAGAATCATTGGTATCAGGCTTCTATAGAAGGCGTAGATTTTTTAAAAAATAATTTGAGGACTCTAAAGAAGGCGTGGATTTTTAAAAAATATTTTGAGGACTCTATAGAAGGCGTGGATTTTTAAAAAAATATTTTGAGGACTCTAAAGAAAGCGTGGATTTTTAAAAAAATATTTTGAGGACTCTAAAGAAGGCGTGGATTTAAAAAAAATGTTTTGAGGACTCTAAAGAAGGCGTGGATTTTTAAAAAAATATGCTGAGGACTCTAAAGAAGGCGTGGATTAAAAAAAAAAATATTTTGAGGACTCTAAAGAAGGCGTGGATTTTTAAAAAAAAATTTTTAGGCTTCTATCTGTTATGCCCCTGACCTTTTTTCGTTAATCTCTGTATCTTGAGGCTGTCATTTGAGGCTGACTGACAATTTATTCAAATATTTAAATATTTAATGAGGGAAACAACAATAAATTCCAA